TGTAATATATTCAATAATTTTTCAAACTCGCGGTTCTCGCTGTCATGTCCATAAGCAGATGGTTACATACTGTCAATAAAGATCCCTAACACGTAATTACAACATTTGATCATGAGGGTTCGATGAAGAGGCTAAAAATATCTCGCTTAGCTGAGAAATGTGGTTCTTGTCCTCAGTTTTACTGACAAATGGCATACTATCGCTAATTTTGGCGTTAGTAACATCGGCAGGATGTTTAATCATGGGTATAGCAATTGTGAGGAATCCGTTGAATGTGACTCGTAAAGCGATCCACTGTATCGAACATGTCGGTTTAGCGCTTTCGCTTTTAGCAGGGATGGTTCTACTACCTTATTTCGGAGTCACTGAGATTCTTCAAGGCGTGAACAACAACGCTGGATCATCCGATTTTCCAAGCTTCATATCAGTGCTAACGGATTTCCTAATCGCTTCAAAGCTTGCTATTTACTTAATTGTCTGCATCGAGAGATGTATTGCGTACAGATGTCCTCATTTTCACCGCGCAAAAGTTACAAAACGCTCAACCTTAGGCGTTTCTATTCTCTCAGTGACCTTCTGTTTCTTCGTCTCCTGTCTATCTTTCACAGGAATCGACGAAAAGAGTTATTACAATGTCTTCATACACTTGTTTTGCTCTTCTTCGTGGGTGGTGTTTCTTTTCGTTACCTGGTTAACATACCGAAAACTCAAGAACAGAACCAGAATTGCGCCGAATGAATCAGTCCAATTACCCCAAATAAGAGAAAAAGCTGAATTTGAAAAAGCCCGCAACGCCTCGATTGCTAAGAAACATGTTCATAAAGCGGCAAAGTTTTACATGCCAGTTTTCTTTACAGTTTTACCTTGGTACGTCGTAAAATGTACCAAAGCTGTGTGCGAGGTTTGTATGACGACCGAGGCAGGATTTTTCTGGCAAAGATTCAGCATCTCTATTGCTTTTTTAACTGACGCCTATTATCCCCTGACATTTTACCGGGAATACGGTAAAACGGTAAAGTACATTTTCTGCAATCGATGATTTCTGCGACTCGGTAATAATATACGATATTGACAATAACGTAACATGCACAGAGTAGCCAGGTGGTGAGAATAATGTAATATCTTGAATATAAATGCCTTGTATCTTCGTGGAAATCATCCCCTCCTTTGCTAATGGTGTGAACTGGCTGCGTCACTTTCTAAAGAGAACTGCGATGAAAATAAGACAAGCTGATCCAAGCGGTATGCAGGACGCGTGTCATTACAACTTCGTAATAGACCCCGCTCACCGAAGAGTCTTTGTGGCTCAGTGGTAGAACGCAAAGCCGAAGGTCTGAGGTTCGATTCCTCATGGGGACTCAGAATTTTCCTTTGTCCCACGCTCGTGACAAGACGAAAAAACATCTTAACTATAGTACAGTTTCAAATCAACAAAAAATGTTCAAGTTTGTTCAGGATTAAATAACTACTTATGGGTTGGTGCATACCGAAATTTTTGTTCAATTTTGTTCAGACTTTTGGTTGCCTCTTTGTAATTTTTCAGCATCTTTCATATTTCTTCCTGGAAGCTTAAGTTTGCGTTCGACATTATTCGAAAGTTTCATGAGTTAAATATGGCATATACACATGTTTGAATTACGCCGAAGGTGATTGTATGTTTGTGCCATGAATGAAAAGAAAGGCTTATCAATGAGAGACTTTCGGCTCGATCACCTTTCTTGTTCGCAAAACGTCACTGCACTGATGATGAAGCTAACTGTCATCTTCTTACCCAAGGTAGGACGAAAGTTTCCGTCTCAGTAATACATTTTCTGTTTCTTTAGAGTCTTGTCTCGTGTTTTCACGAACTTTACTGAAACACACAGCTATAACATATTTTTGAGTCTGTCACTTACGAAAATACTAGCCACAGTACTTTTTTTTCGGAGAATTATAATTCGATTGCAATGCTGTGTAGATATATGCATCCACATAGAGACTGGGCCTATAAATTTTTCCGGCCTCGAATATTCAGCCGAAAAAAACAAATGTGACCCTCCACGGTCTCGAAAAACGGTTGTAAACGGATAGTAAACGGTTAACTCGAGCGTTTAAACGGATGCCATAACCGCTTAAACGGATGGCAAAAAATTTAAACGGTTGACCAAAGTCCAAAAACGGATAGCTTAGGCCTTCAAACGGTTGACCAAAAATAAAAACGGATAGCACGAAACGTTAAACGGTTGACCAAAGTTCAAAAACGGATGGCTCACACTTTTAAACGGTTGACCAAAAATAAAAACGGTCAGCCCGAAACGTTAAACAGTTGACCAAAGTCCAAAAACGGATGGCTTAAACCGAGAAACGGTTGACCAAAATCGACAAACGATGAGCTTAAAATTAATGTTTAACGGCTGTGGTTGAGCCGGCGAGATCTTCTGCGGAAAAACTTTCAGAGTGACAACGGATAATTATCCTTTAAAGCGAAAATATTTAGCATGATAATTTGAAAAGTAATAACTAGCATATACTTGCGCATTTTATTTCTGGGTTAATTACTGCCGCTTTCGTGTGACATTCATGAAATAAGCGCAATTTACTGAGAATAGTTTCGCTGCCGAATATCCTGAACGGCTTCCGCGAGAAACTCATAATCTTCTCCTTTGTTTATTCTTATTAGTATTGAAAATGAACTTCATTTCTTCCTGTTCGGAAGAAACAAATTTGCATATGCAATGCCGCCACCTTGTCTGAAGCCGAGACCTTTCAAGGTCAAATAACGCAATGAAGTTCCATTGCAAATAAAAGGTCGAATCGGTGTCACGCACCAAGCGGGGCCGTTAAAATGATTGTCAATAAAACCAAGAATGATGAATCAAGATGATATAAACAGAAAGAGAGTAGCCGATTTAACTTGTTTGTCAAAGGATGCGACGGAACTCGCTTACTATGATCACGCAATAGATAAAACCAAAATAAGATACGGTCTTTCTGTATTTCAAGAACCGGCGAGTATCGAGCGAACGTAAGATTGATACTTCGAACTGCCTATTACAGAATGATAGGCAAACAGTCCAAAGCTTTCCGTGGAACTTTAAACGGATAGCTTTTTTTTTTTAAACGGGTAAGCAAACCGTTTAAATGTTTTTGCTAGAGCGTCGAACGGATGCAAATTTTTTTAAACGGATGCAAATTTTTTTAAACGGATGAGCAAACCGCTTAAACGTTTTGGCAAAAGCGTTAAACGGATGCAAATTTTTTTAAACGGATGAGCAAACCGCTTAAACGTTTTAGCTAAAGCATTAAACGGATGCAAATTTTTTTAAACGGATAAGCAAACCGTTTAAACGCTTTCATGAACCGTTTAAACGGATAGTAAACGGTTTTGCAGCTTAAACGGAAAAGCGTTAGTGTCCGTTTTCCCGTGGAGGGTCACAAATTGCAACTAACAACACTGTTAAAAGTCACTCAAATTTTGACAATGAATTAATCCGAAAGTTTGCGAAAACAATGTGCAAGTTTTGCTCGTCTCGCTGTCATTCCTTCTGTACAATGCTTGCTTCTGTCCAACTAATTATCGAGCAATCTATGTCCAAAGGTTTTTCAAGCTACATTCTTAATTGGCAAGACGTAAAACCTTTTAATATCATTTTAATTAACTTTGCACGAAAATACGATCGACAACATTGGGTACGTGACAAAACTTCACACACATCCGTATTGTAAACAATATCTATTGCGGTTCAAAATATCTACCAATTTAATCACTCTACTGACTCGACTGGTTTTGCGACACAACTGTCGTTGTATGCTTATTCATCAATTCACTTGATACAATTTCCCATTGCGTATTATGGATCATTTAATCATTTGCAGCTTTGTTTAGAGTTGGACTTGCAAACTTTTTCAAAAAACCCTCTGCTGGATTTCAGTTGAGGTATTTCATTGGCTACCTAATAAAGTTTCTATGTAACACACGTTCTTATTGGCTGGAAAAGCGTGCTTTATCAGATTACGGATGAAAGGAGTACCGGTGTCACGCTATCGACCAATTTGTGCCATGGCCGACCATTTCTCCGGCTTCTCACTAATTTTTTTTTTTTGTTTTGACCCAAAGGTCTTGCATGAAACCAAAGAACGAACTTGAAAACGGGCCCTCGGCTGCAATTAATCGGAGCAACCTATAAGTAACATTAAAGATTAATAATAACAATAATAATAATAGTAATAATGGGAATCTAGTAGTGAGTATTCCACGAGGTCTCTAGGAAGTGGTTCTTCTTGTCCAGGTCGAACTGAAATTTGGAATGTTGGTAGGAACCCAGAGAAAAATCGTCGGTGCTAGGACGAGAACCAACAACAAACCTACAAATGACACCAGGTCCGGGAATCAAACCCGGGCTACAGTGGTGGATGACAAAAGCTCTCACCACTGCGCCAGCCTTGCTCCCTTCCACGGAGATAGAAAGTGAAATTTGGGCACAAGCTAACGATGAACAAAACCAGCCGGCCAGGCAGGTAGCGACAGAAGAAACAAACAATGTTTTGTTAACATACCAAGCGCCAAAGTTGGCGAAATTATGACGCGAGCAGAGACGAAAAATATCAAAGAGAAAATGGAATACACTGTCGAGCCGAGTTTTGAAGGCTTACGCTCTACATGTAAGATTGTTATACACTTCTTTCCGCACTCAGATACAGAACCCGATAACAGACGATCTCGACATATTTTTTGAATCAATATAAAAATCTTCATTTTTCAAGTTATCCTTTTGATGTATTTTTAAATAACTTTTGTAAAAATCCAAAAATAATTTGCGATTCTTGATCGGCTTCCGCAGGAAGCAACCGTTTACTTAGTATGGCCTTGCCTTTAATAGCAACTCAGCTCCACTACTCAACGCTCCTCCTCTGGTGTTGAGTTGTAAACTTAGTTAGTTCACGCCGATTTGCCCCAACAGACAGATATGACTGCTAAGATTGATATGTCACCATAGAAACGGTCAGTAAGTTGAGATTTCTTTTTACGGCAGTTAGTTAGTACATTCGACTGACTCGCTATTGAATTTGATTTTCACGGCCTGTAGAGACAGAGAATCGACCGAAAAGAAGATGAAATCTATTCTGTGTATTGCGGTAAGAAGAACAATTTTTAACCTTATAAGCTTACATATTACATTGAACTTATCATAAACGCAGTTCCAACAATCTTTTCTAAAGTATCATCCGATGCGAGCGTAAAATTGCCGATTTTGACGTGATGATTTCATCATAGACAGTTTGTGAAGGGAGATTACCACCGTATCAAAGATGACATTAAAGTATTACCGTTCGCCTCTAAATTTAGTCACTTAAGACGTGGATCACAATGTCTCGATACACACTACTAGTCTTCTTCAGCCGGTTTATCACTATTCCTTCACGGAGGTTTTTTTCAATAGACGGTGCATTTTCTTTCAATTTTGTGATGCCTTTGTCCTATGAATAGCGTTATACTAAAGATTCCTTTTTACGCGAAATTTCTAAGACAAAAACAATTGAATTTACTCCGCTCTGACTCTAGCACAGCGCTTCTAAAAGAGATTTTACATAATTTCGCGTGAAAAAAAGCTAACTTGACCTCATTAATTACAAATAAGAGCGCTATGATCTATTCTGTCTACTTAAGGGGGAAAGTATTATCTTGCCCGCCGCCATTTTACATTCTGTTGGCTAGTTTTGTTATTTTTTAAAGGTTTTTTCAGTCTCAGAAAGAAAAAAAACAAAGCAAAAGAAGACTTTAAAGACTTCTTCCCCTTTCAGAAGTATGAATACCCAAATCGCCCTTAGTAAAGCAAAGTTCCATGGTAACGAATGTGTTTTAGTAAGAATGTGTTCGTCATGAGAGTGTATACTTTTAAAAGCCGATGGAGAAACATTCATTGTACTTCGTTAGACAAGGCTATCTGTTTTTGTTATCACGTCAGATGTTTTACTTTTTTTATGTACGAGTCATCTTTACAGACTAACAATAGATACATATGCTTTCGTGTTTCAAGTTCAAGGCTTCCCTGTCTTTACAAAATTGTTCGATAAATTAGCTGGTGATTGACACTAAATAAATAACATCCGTTCCCAGCGCTACTAGTAACTTGGTCAGTGCAATAATGGCTGTGCCTCTCTAAAAGACATCAGTGGCCATCTAAAACTAAACAGTTTGGTGTCTTTAAATGTAAGAGCCGATGTTAAAAACTTTTTCCAAGTGAAAGAGGTGGTAATTAACCAGAAACTAATATTTTAACAATTCTATTTTGCCTTGTTTCAGTTTGTCCTATTAACCACCACATTACTTGCATTATGGTATTTGCCACCAACAAGTGAGTGAAAATGTTTTGTTACCTACATAATTTGGTACTTTGTGGGCTAAAGAATCCTAAACTCGAATCTTGTTATTAATCAAGTTGTAATTCTGATTAAAAGAAGTTTGCAGTTTTGATTGAAAAATAACTTTAAAGACTGATCACTCTTCTACTACTCCAACGAAAATCTAGTCACTTAACTCTGGTGATAATTGCGCCGAGTCTGTTGCAGGAAAGCTCTCACCTGAACAATCAGTATCACATCTTCATTTCGATTGTAAACTGCTTATTAGATGCAATTTCTTCAATTTTGTGATCAATTTGAGCACATAAGTTTTTCAGATCATTAACATCTGAAAGACTTCTCAAATATTATTCCACCTCTTTATTTTTTCCAGCAGCTTTGCCTGTCAAATGGCGTGACTATTTCAGCCATGAAATAAGGGATTACTGGGCACTTCCTCGTCGAGAGAATGAACATTTACGACAGGAGCCAGACCTCGTTGAGAAATGTTGGAAAGGTAGCGGAAGTGACGTCAGTGAAGAAAGTGAAAAATACATTAGTTGGGGTGGTGAAAGAGATGATTCAGGCAGTGGCGCCGGAAGTTTAGAGGAGGAAAGTTCAGGTAGTGATGGGGAAAGTAAAGGAAGTGGAGAGGGAGGCAGCGGAGAAAATGGAGAGGAAGGAAGCAGTGGAGACAGTGGAATGAAAGAAATCAGTGGAGGTAGTGGAGAGGAAGGAAGCAGCGAAGAAAGTGAAATAGAGGGAAGCAGCAGAGAAAGTGGAGAGGAAGGAGGCAGTGCAGAGAGCAGAAAAGAAGGAAGCAGTGGAGAAAGCGGAGAAGAAGGGAGCAGTGGAGAAAGTGGAATGGAAGGAGGTAGTGAAGAAAGTGGAGAGGAAGTAGGCAGTGCAGAGAGCAGAAAAGAAGGAAGCAGTAGAGAAAGCGGAGAAGAAGGAAGCAGTGGAGAAAGTGGAGGATTAGAAAGCAGTGGAGAAAGTGGAAAGGAAGGAGGTAGTGAAGAAAGTGGAGAGGAAGTAGGCAGTGCAGAGAGCAGAAAAGAAGGAAGTAGTGGAGAAAGCGGAGAAGAAGGAAGCAGTGGAGAAAGCGGAGAAGAAGGAAGCAGTGAAGAAAGTGGAGAAGAAGGAAGCAGTGGAGAAAGTGGAATGGAAGGAGGTAGTGAAGAAAGTGGAGAGGACGGAAGCAGTGGAGAAAGTGGAATGAAAGGAAGCAGCGAAGAGAGTGGAATGGAAGAAAGCGGTGGAGAAAGTGGAGTAGAAGAAAGCAGCAGAGAAAGTAGAAAGAATGGAAGCAGCGGAGAGAGTGGACTAGAAGGAAGCAGTGAAGAAAGCGGAGAGGAGGAAAGCAGAGGAGAAAGTGGAATAGAGGGAAGCAGCGGAGAAAGTGGAATGGAAGGAAGCAATCGAAAAAATAGAATGGATGGAATCAGCGGAGAAAGTGGAATGGAAGAAAGCAGCGGAGAAGGTGGAGAGGAAGGGAGTAGCCAAGAATATGGAAGCACAGACGAAAGTGGAGGCGAAGGAAGTGGCAAAGAGAATGAAGAGGAGAGAAGCGGTGAAGAAAGTGGAGATGAAGGAAGCGTCGTGGAGAGCGGGAAGGAGGGCAACAGTGGAGAAAGTGTAGAGGAGGGAGGCAATGAAGAACACCAAGAGAAGGAAGGAAACGGGCAAAGGGAAAAGGAAGGGAGTGCTGAAGAAAATGGAAACGAGGAAGGCGGCATGGAGAGTAGCGAGAAAAGTGGTGAGGAGGAAGGCACTGGAATGGAAAATATTATCGCTGTTAACAATGGCCGCGTTCTTTTGGCCGGTGGCATTCCACGTAACCCTACCACCGAGCCCATTTCACCGACACCTGAGACGACAGATGCCGTTCAGGACCTTCTAGAGATGGTCAAAGAGATAGAGAATGTAGCTGAGCTTCCATGGCCTTAATTGGGTTGGAGTGTCAGCGCTGATTATACGACTAGTTATAATTTTGTATAGTTAAATATGATTAGAGATAAAACTAGAAACGAACATAACTTCCAATGCTTCACTTCTTCTGCGGGACAAAAATCGCAGTGCTTCAGTGAGATACAGGGTCGCTTCCAATTTAGTTAGAAAATTCGGTGACCATTTTCTTTCAAGAGGATCAGTAAAAACCTTTTTTTTTTCCTTACACAAAAGAACGGGACAACTATGCTCCATTTGTATAACAGAATTTTCTCCCAGCTAAAGAAAAAAAAACACACTTTGGTTGGAGAGGCAGTCGGCTCTAGTTCTATTCGCTCATTTTAGCCGAGATTTCATGCCTTTTTAGACTGCAAGCGATGGAAAAAGGAAATTACCTGCAAGGAGGTCTTCAATTCTTGCCCGGCCTTGAGCAACTCGACCCGGCGAGTTCTGCCAGGGCTTAGCACTGATTACTTCAGTGCCAAAACCCGGCAAACCCTCCCCCTCTGAAATCTTCCCGCGGGCGGAGAAGCGAGCGTTCTGTAGTGTTCATAAAGAAGATCTGCTCGCAAGCTAATGAAGTATGAAATAATTGAAATGTATGCAAAGCTGTAAAATCGAGTCAAGCACCAATCAAGTCAGAGTTAGTTTAATTGTATTTATAAACTCCTTAAGCTGGGTTCGTCAACTTACAATAAGAAAAAAGCATTGTAGAGCTTGAGAAATAAATGGCACAATGATCGTTTGATTATTCTGTCAATAGGAAAAAGGGGAAGAACAATTTAAGGTCGTTCCATTGCATTTCCCATAAGATGAAATAGCAAAACAGCCCTAAACTGAAGTATACGAAGATGCAGTTATCTCCTTTCGATCCTGTAATTTTTTTGGCGTAATGCTACGGATTTTTAACTTTTAGCTCATTATTAAGCTCCAATTTGAATCCTATTTGTCAAATTTGGATTAACTGACAAAGAATCAGCCAGTCAGAAAAGCCATCACAGTCACGTTTACATCATTTACTGTTAGAGAAATTAAAAACGCCACCTTTTAGGATACAGGTGTAGAAAATTTGTCACCAAAACTAAACGACGTTATATTTGGGTATCAAACAAAATTGGCCTACAAGTAAATTGCACACTAATTGAATTGCCATGTAGTCGGTAAATTATATCGCAATTTTCTTCTGCGTCGATTTGCGAGTGACCAAGCTTCTGTCTCGAGAGTCTTCTTCGATCCTCCTTCGCGAAGGAGAGTGGACTCATCAGTGGCTGGTAATCGACCCGGAGATGTGACAACTTTCAGTGTAGCCTGAATGTAGCGAAGAAAACTGTAGTAGGCCTTCCACGATTATTTTGTTACACCCGCTGGTTGTCGATTGGTCACATGACCAAAATGGATATCCCATGAACGTTTGCAAAATTAAGCACAAGGAAACTGGACACTAATGTATTTTCCGCGCTGAAATTTAAACATGGCGACTAAGTTTAAAGCTGTTGCTTCCAAATTTATAATTCCAATTTCCGCACTGAGCGATCCAAGTAATTTTGAGAGATCTTGATTACACCATTAAATCAGTGTTGTTAACTAACATCGGCTTTATTCTCTACTGAACTTTCATTAAGGAAAACTGAAGGTAAAACGTAGCTTTAGCTGAGGTAAACCCGATATTGATTGATCGAGAGTGTGTTTACGCCGCTCGTTTCCGAAGTTTACTCAACGATGGACGAGCTTTCATCAGAAGACAAGAAAAGCCGTTATACTGTTAAGGTTTGTATAATTTTTTTCAAGTACGTTATTAATCAGAAAAAATAGGCCCCTTACTCAAGTGTTCATCTATGTACATTTCCTATGTAAGCTATTCATGTTATCTTTAACACGAAACACACAAGAAAGTTGAGTGCAATGTAAAACTTTAGACAACCCCAACAGTAAAAATGCCACCACAGGGTAAATTGTCGTTTGATAACATAAGTCATGTTATATTTAAGAGCATTCTGTTATTGACTTGTACATACAGCCAACGAGTATGGATGACTTTAATATAATCAAACCAATCAGCCGTGGTGCCTTTGGGTAAGTCATGTTTAATCCTTCAACTTTACTCAGTTCACTGGATGCACAGCATAAGTGGGATAGTTGTAGGTTATTATCGAGTGACACTTTCTGTGACTGCAACAGTAATGTAACAACGCTGTTGAAGATAGTGTTTCTTATTTCAAGACAAATAATGGTCAACTTCAAATGGGTTCAAGAATTTGCACAGAGAATTTATTGGAAATTATTTTTTCTGGTTGTTACTGGTTTAGTTGTTTGATTTTGGAATGCTTTCATCCTCATTAAATTGTGAGAACATTGCTCTTTTTGTTAATCAGTCTTCTTTGTTTATAATTTTGGTACCTTTGTGTTCAACAAATTACCTTGTTGAGTCCACATTGATTGAATTAGGTTTTTCAAGTAATTAATACATGGAACTTGGCAATGTTACCTGACATGACTGGATAGTAATTTAATGTATTAATTAGAATGTTATGTGAATAGTAATAGATGATGAAGAGTTGCTTTTCAGGAAAGTATTTTTGGCTCGAAGGAGAGACAAAGATCAACAATTCTATGCTGTGAAGGTGGTAAAGAAGACTGATGTTGTGAACAAGAACATGATGGAACAGGGTGAGGAGCAAATTTTAAGGCAGGACTTTTGTACAGCCCCATATTTTACTATGCACACAGTAGCTGGATAAAGGAAACAATGGTATAAAACTATGGGGTGTGTTTGGGACTACGGCATTGTTTTACAATAGTACAGGGCAAAAGGGAAACTTCTTCAATTTTTCTGTGAGAAAACATGGCGCTTTTCATTCATGTGAATTTCCTTTTATTGTCAAAACGACACTATTTTGTTATGTATATAACAGGACTTTTTTTTTTATCCAGTGGTTGCAGAAAGAGACTGTCTGGCAATTGCAAAGAGTCCCTACATTGTAAACTTGTTTTATTCCTTTCAGTCAAAAGATAGGATATTTCTGGTGAGTTCTGTTGTATTTTTAACCTTTAGCACACTAACTTCAGTAAGCATATGCATTTCCTCAATTGCTCCTCATTTCCTCAATTGCTGACAAGGAGAATTTGTTTAACAATTAAGAGCTTCTTTAGTTGGTGATCATTTCCTTTATTCTTGTGACCTTAATGTTCAACTCAGGACTCCTCATGAGGAGAAGTTAGGTGCTGGTCACTCTTAGGGATTAAGGTTTAGAGAGGTTGTCTTTTGTTGACTAGTTAGTTGTTTGTTTTTCTTAGTTCATGTACTACTCAGTTCAGTTTTATCCTTGACTGGAGTTTGATTTTTAAAATCATTTTTTTGGTACATAATAAATTCTTTATTGACCAAGCTTGTTTGGTCAATAATATATATGAATGTTTACTTCTTGATTTAGGTCATGGAGTATTTGATTGGAGGAGACTGTAAATCATTGTTACATAACATGGGATACTTTGATGAAAACATGGCAAGAATCTATATATCACAGGTCAATTATTCATCCTGATCATTTCATTATCGTCCTATACACTTTACATTTGAGGATAATGTAGCTTAAAATGACTACCAGTGCTTGTGCATGTTAATGTGTGACATTAGAAGTGCCCACTGTTCTTTACAACGCAACTACTGGCCAAAAATCCAGCCAGCAGTCACCACTTTTTTTTATCTACTAGCAAATTTTGCAGGAAGCTGACACTTAGCAACAATCCTGTCAGCAGCTGTATGGGGAAATTAACCTGTGCTCCTCTGCTCCTCTCCCAAAATAGATGGCTCCTTCCTTCTCAGAGGATTGCAGCATGTCCTTGAGAAAACAGTAGTAATAAAGCTTACTATAAGTGATGCTGTGGCTTAATTTGGACTAAATCTGTCATTGAGACTTTGTTGGGTTTTTCTCCTGGGTCAGACTATTGTCACTCTCACAGTCACTCAAGAGTTGAAATGGGTACTAGCAAACTGCCAGAGGAGCCTGATGGAATAATGGGGCAGTAACCTGCAATGGACTAACATCCTATCCGGGGGAGGGGGAGAGTAGCTATGGTCCTAATCACTTCTAGCTGTCAAGATTGGTATAAGCTGCAGTACCTCCTGGGTCACATGTATGGCTTCAGTGCAAATAAACCCTTACCCACCTTGCACATGAAATACATCTCACAGTTTCTTCACTTGTCTTTTGAGCCCTATTTTAAATGATTTTTCTTTTGGCTGCAGGTAGTCTTGGCTTTGGATTATCTTCACAAACATGGGATTATTCACAGGTAAGAAAAACATCTATGGTGCATGCAATTCAAAATTGAATTAATTTCCAGAAAATGTTGTTTTATAGCTTGTTATGACCCATTAAACACCAGTCACAACAAAACTTCATTCTCTTAGAGTTTCTTCATGGAATTAACCAGTTTGTTGGCTGTATGTACAAGTTAATAACAGAATACTTCATCATCTATGATTAAGAACCTGGAATATAACATCCCAAGAGCTGCACTATTTCTGGCTCTTCCATACGGTGTTGGGTTGTTGAATGATGTTTTTTGAATTTATTCCCCCCCCCCCCCCCACCAAAAAAAAACAAAACAAAACAAAAATCCTTTCTGGTCATCTAGCTTCCTTTTTCTTATTTTTTATTTTTCTCTCTCTCTTTCTTTGTCAACTTGATGTCTTGAAAAAAAGAGTTTCTCCCACAGCTATTGTTACTCTGACGTGTTTCAAATGATGGAGAATAAAGAGTGTCTCCATATTAATTGTGCATACCATTAAGAATATTTAAGGCCTGTCGCTTAGGTCACCTGTCTGCATTCATGAATTTTTCTAAAGTTCTTTTTCAAAATGCAACTTTAGGGATCTTAAGCCAGACAACCTTCTAATCTCCAATGAAGGAAAAATCAAGTTAACTGATTTTGGGTTGTCAAGGTTGACATTGGAAAGAAGTAAGTCTATTTTATCAATTGTGAATATGAATCATTCAAACATCGAATAAACCCATGATTTTTTTTTTTGGTTTTTTTGCTGTACATCTGTTACCTTAACTTTTAATTTTAAATGCAGCAAGTTGATTTTTGACAACTTTCATCTATTGGAAGAAGTTGATAACCTTTGGATTGAACATGTCACAGAGATGTTCTGGTAAACTGTACCACGTAACCTCTCTCCATAATGTGAAAATGAATACTTCAAGAGGGTGTAAAGGAATGTTTATTGTCCAGAGCCATCAGGAATTTGGGTTTTACTTAAAATCACTCTGTGATTGGATAACAAAACGTGCACCTCTTCCTGAGCCAATCAGATTCAAAACTGGATATACTGGATCTATGCAGCACTGGATTTACTGGATCTATAGAAATTTGGCACGTTCACGTTTAAACGAGTCTTGTACTCATCCATGTAAAATGGATAAATAAAATACCTACCTACCTACCACTGAACCTGTCAGTTATGCCTTTGTCACTTAAGTTTTGCCACTCAACTTTGATATCTTACTGGAATGAAGCTTTTTACCTTATGTTATTAGCTGCATATCCCTGACAACATAATCTTAAACCATTTTTCTTAGAACCTAGTTTCATTGATGTGATGAGCACACCATCTCTGAACAAGAATGACAAGACTTCAGGTTCAAGTTTCTTTAGAACACCTGGTCAAGTAATGTCACTGACTTCCAATTTCACTTTTGTAAGTATACATAATTTCATATTCCAGTTTATTTTGTTATCAGCGGTGATAATATTCGCCCAGGAGAAGTAATAGATCTGAAATACTTCCTAGTCGGTTCCTGCTGCACAAACCGCGGAGTTACGCTGGGGTAAATGTGCGTATACAATAGCAACTACATAATAAATCATCACCTGCGATGCGAACACCAAATTGTTTACATTCCGGTACGTAAACATTTAAGCCAGCTGCGATTGTAATGAATTAATATGGCATATTCGCTTCATTACTCGCTTAATAATACACGTGTTTCAATACCTTGTATAAGTGACATTTTCCTTTTCCTTCGAATTCATCAACACCTCAAATCAAGCAAATTCACTGCTACTGCTCGTTATTCGATAAATTTGTGACGCGACGTGCGACTGTGT